TACGTTGCCGGCCTTTCCTTCGTTGGATCAGCAGAATACATTCACTTAGAGCACATGGATTGTCCATTTTCACCATCACTTGTTTATTGAAGTGGTCCAGCCCTGCGAGCTCGCGGGCGTAGTGAATCAGCGTCGTATCTTTGATCCCCTCGACATCGTCCTTGTTTTGTGGTGACACTCCCAGGATATCGAATCTTCCATATCCAAGCTTTGAAGCGCAATCAGGTTGGGTGCCTCAGGTTTTGGCAGCCACTGTCCCAGAGACGCGAGCTCCGCCACGGCAGATGCCACGGGCAGAGACCACGCCCGCAAGAAACCGACGACGGCGGTGTAGTTACCCTCTAGCGCAGAGACAAGCGCCACCTCGACAGGGTTCATGGCATTAAAGTGGAAGTTGGATTCCACAACGGTGTGGATGGCGATGGCGAGGCGCTCGAAATAAGCGTCAGGACCCGGCGAAGGGGCTGGCAGGGCCAGCGCCTGGGAGCGGGAGCGAGACATTCGGAGACTGACGTCGTGTCCGTGGTTCCTCTCAGCCTCCCACCAACCGAACATACCAACCGCCGCCTCGCACCAGTCTTGTGCCGTGTCGAGAATGGCATCTGGCACACCCAAGGCGATCTCGTAAATCGTCTGGAGGTGCTCGTAAATGTCCCAAGGCACTTGGCTCTCGGCCTTGCGCGCCATGCTGGCCAGCGAGGGGCCATTGTGGAAGCCATCATCGCTGCCATCGACAAGCATGTCTCTCTCCTTGCCCTCTGCAAACCGCTGGAGCTTGTCCAGGGACCCCTTGGCCTGGATTCGGAACAGCGTCCAGTCACTACTGAAGATGTCCCAGTTGTCCTTAGTGGCTGGGCACATGCTCAGCATGGTACAGGTGATGCTGACAGCGCGCTGGACATTTTCCAGAGTTTTGCCCTGATAGGCCTTTTCTCCGCGGCCTCTTGTGACGGCCTCCCCACGCTCCGCCCCTAAGAAGCTCAATGGCGCCATCCACATTACCACGCATGAGGGCACTGCCGACGGTCTGCCAGTAAAGGCCATGATTGGCCGGGCTAGGCCTGTGTCGCATGACGTCGTGGTGTTGGTCGGGATACATGTTGTGGTTGTGAGCGGCCCAGTCAAAAAGAACGCCTGGCAGGGGTTCAACGTAGGACGCATCTGGTCCGACCAAGCGAGCATTGTGGAGGCGGAGCACCAGTTTCGCGACAAATGCCCCCTTGCGGAACGGCTCATCATCGTCGCCCGGGCCGACCTCTGCCGTGTGCTCGCTGTCTAGCATGGGGAGGCTGTCGGCGTAGTCGTCCCACAGCTGGATCAAGGGCTCGCACATGAGCGACAGGGCACTGTCCAGCTTCTCGGGGTCCTCCTGGGCACCGATGCCCTCGTCGTACAGCTTGTTGATGGTGTCCTCCGTTTTGCCGATGAGCTCGGGGGCTTCAGAGAGCTGGGCGAAACCCAAGTCAGTGTAGAGGTTCTTCGCCATGGAAGCGTACTGAAAGTCTGTTCTGGAGCCGGCCGACGAGCGTTGTCGGACTGATGCGCGGAAGATGTCTCGGGCCTCCTTCCTCATCTGTTCGGTAGCGGCAGGTGTGACGAGATCCATGAAATCTGTCGCCTCAGCCAGATTCTCTTCGTATTCATCCTCGTCGCCTTCCGCATCGTCCTCGTCCTCGTCGTAGTCTTGGTTCTGCTGTTGGCGAGCCCGCTGGTGCATGTCTAAGAACATGTCTGTGTCTTCCTCCCCTTCTTCATCGTATTCCTCTTCGTCTTCTTCGTCCTCTTCGACAGAACCTTCCTCACTCTCGTCGTCCATGTCGGCTTCCAAGATGCGCTTCATCTGCTCGTCAGCCTCGGCCACTTCGTCGACCTCTTCCTCCTCATCTTCGTCACTCTCCTCATCGCTGGAGATGTGATACGTGCCGGTCTTGTTCGTGGTGCTGCGCGTCGAGTCGGCAAAGTCGTACTCCCTGCTCAGGGCTGACGGCTGCCTCGCCGACCTCGATGGCCCTATGGACCGGCCGAGGGGTTGCTGCGGCGAGTTCTGGGCCCGACCGAAGAGGTTCTTTGTCGAGCCGGCCGTGCTGTGGCCGCCAAAGGAGGTGGGCTTCTGGCCAGTCACTCCGAGCATCATGGAGCTGCCGAGGTATGATTCGGAAGGCGCGCCGGCGGGTGTGAAGGACGCAGCAGACGAGGGAGGAGGAGGGCCAGCCGGGGTCGTCGAGGGGTTATCGCCGAATTGGAAGGAGCCAGAGCCAAAGTGCGAGCTCCTGTCGGGGGTGGACGGCGCCGGGCTATCATCGGGGAAAGAGAAGGTAGGCATGGTGTGTCGTGGAACGGCCCTTGGCCGTGTTGCTGTGGTTGAGAAGACCCTAGTTGTGTCGAATTAAGAGGTACCCAAGTCAGGTACCTGAGGGGGTCGCTTGGTTGATGAACGGCAGCGATCGCAGTTGTTTATTTTGGTACCATGAAAATGAAAGGAAAAGACGAAAACAAAAAGAGCGTCGAGACGGCCGGGGGGGTTATGAGCTTGCGCGCGATTGATGTGTGAGTGCGCTGTTGGTAGCTTCCGTTGTTGGGTCAAACGCGCCTTGGGATAAATTTTGGAGGTTCGCGATCACAGTTGCAGTCCTGTCAACTGGTAAGTAAGTAGCCTTGACCGGCCAACGCTGTAGCCACAAAGCTCACTGTGAGACCAGGAGGGGACCCACCGATGCAGCTTCAGCCGCGCTGCCATGGCTGCCAGCTGGCGCGTATTCTGACGCTGCGCGACACTGGCGCCCCTGGCCGGGCTTCCATGGTCCGAGCGCACCAGGTGCCTACCTGGTCTGCCCTCGCATTCAGTTAAGTAGGTACCTAGGTACCTAGGTATGCAGACAAGCAGACACAAGGACCCCACGACCATCGACCATCGGAGACCCAACCGCCCTCGGAACGCACGTACGGAAGACGGGATATGTACGTTCCATGGAGCGCTCCCCGGAGGCCCCGAACTCAACTGCCGGATCCATATTGTCGTGATGTTGCAACAGCCGAATGGCAGTGACTCGGCTAAAGATCCATGTCGCGGTTGATTCCTGCTTTCTTCGCGTGTCGTCTTCAATGAGAGTTCAGACGCTCGCTCACACGGCACACATATTTCAGTATGTAGAGCCAAACACAGCGATGTTTTCTTCGGGCATGTGTGTAAGAAATACAGTCATCCCAGTGGTGGATTGCTGCGGTTGACAATATCACCAACACCGTCCAACACCTGGGCATTCCACGTCCAACCACATACTCTGCCAGTCCGCAGGCTTTTCAATCAGCTGGAAATCATAGAGAGGTATCCGATTGATAGGGAACATAGCCACAACGAGCAAACGCATGTTGCTCGGCGTCGTCCGGCTTTCGGGGTATACACGAGACCAGGGAGCGCGCTCGCTGTTGACTCCCGCATGACAGCTTTCGGGCGTCAGGTTGTTCGCCGAAAAACACACAGCGCGAACACGACCCAGACCACCATGTCTTGGCATGTCAATCGGCCTTAGCTTCGGAGATTGTGATACGCTGCAGCTTCCTGTCCAAGCTGCAACATGCAACACCGGAGAGGAGGGGCTGGAGAAGAGAGGGGAAGCCATCACATCGTTATGTCGTCGCAGAGCTCAGGGCGTGACGTAACTCTCCGAACTCCCGAGCTCGCGCTCCTCCCCTCCCCCTCTTTGCCTCGTTCGCCCTGTCGACTCGGCATGGTGGGGTTCCAGCGGTTCCGCTGGTGACCACCACAAAAGCACTTAGTTGATCTGGTTCCCCTACCCCTCCCAAAGCTATCGCGACGTCTGTTGTTGCATCCTGTCTCTGCTGCCATCTACAAGAACCTGGCTAGCGGCACACGCAAAACACCATCAAGGTCCTCGCCGCTCTCGAGTCTCAGCAACATCCCCCACACCCTTCTCCCCCATTCGACCCTCGCACACTACTAAAGAATCATGTCGTCCACCGAGGGCAAGGTACGTTTTTCCCCTCAGCTTCTCCTCACCTTCCCTTCCCCTCCTCCACTGGACCGACCTCCAACGCGAACGCGTGGCTGCGGTTTAGCTTCCTGTGCGACGGTGACTAATTGGGCCATAACACGAGCAGACGATCACTTGCAAGGCCGCCGTCGCCTGGGAGGCCGGCAAGGAGCTCAGCATCGAGGACATTGAGGTCCTTCCTCCCCGCGCCCACGAAGTCCGCATTCAGATCTACTACACCGGTGTCTGCCACACAGATGCCTACACCCTCTCCGGCAAGGACCCTGAGGGTGCTTTCCCCATTGTTCTCGGACACGAGGGTGCTGGCATCGTCGAGTCCATCGGTGAGGGCGTGACCAATGTCAAGGTCGGCGACCATGTCGTCGCGCTCTAGTACGTCTGTTTTTTCTTTTTGTTTTTTTGTGCCCGATCTCTAAATAGTGACACATGCCCACGCTCCATCACGACACACGCTGACAACCTGTGTACCACAGCACGCCCGAGTGCAAGGAGTGCAAGTTCTGCAAGTCCGGCAAGACGAACCTTTGTGGCAAGATTCGCGCCACCCAGGGCAAGGGCGTCATGCCCGACGGCACCTCCCGCTTCCGCGCCCGTGCAAGGATCTCCTCCACTTCATGGGCACGTCGACCTTCTCCCAGTACACGTCGTCGCGACATTTCAGTCGTTGCCGTCAGCCCGACGCCCCAT